GAAACTTCATTGAAACTGGGCATCTCGCCTTCATAAAACCTTGAGTGAGTACTTGTGTGATAATAAAATGGAAGGTCTGGATTCAATCTTTTCATAAATTCCAAACAAACTTTTCTCCAGCCATAGTATACCTACATTTAGAGTATACCATGCATTCATTAGGCATATTGTATTTATGAAGACATACTTGTTTCAATGTAAAATTTTTCCCAACCGTATCACGTAGCACGCACTAAAGAAGCATTCCACATCATCAGTAGTACTTGCACGGAGATGTTCATTTCCAAACATGTTGTTCCTTAAAAAATCCCTTTGCCAATTTTTACTTTCAATATCAGCTACCAAGGCAATGATTGTTTCTCTATTCAGTCCCCTAACATCGTCAGTTGGCCTGTATTAAGATAAGATGGAGGTACATTGTGTTATAATTGACATCACATGGTTACCTATTGACTTCTAGGTTACTAAAGTCAATGCTATCGGGTGAATACCATGGAATCAGATCTTGTGCAATAAAATAAAAAAGTCCATACTGAACTGCTGCCGCTGACCTTCAGATAATCCTCTTTCATCTACTGCACATCTCCAGTTATGAACTGGGTATCATGTTCATGTGGCTAGCAAGTCATTATGGTTATTACACTGACTAAATAGGCATCTTGATTTATAAAATAAATCTAAAGTAATCTATAATGGCTCCCTCAATTAATTATTGATGTTCGACTCCACTGAATTGAGTTCCTTGCTTCAGGCTTAGTCATGTGTCACAGCATGGTCACAGTATGGCTGGAACATGATACTGCCACTGTTATGGCTGATGGGTGATTCAGTGATAGCTATGTGTTGTTCAATATTATTGTGTTAATTAGTATAGGTAGCTTTCTACTTGCAATCATAGTAGACACCAGAGTCAAGTCATTCTTTAAAATCGTCTGCTTTCATTTTATTGGCTAGAAATTGTTCTAAATTGTATACTTGTTTTATTTAAAGAATTGCAACCTAATGATATTCTAGTACCAAAACTATTTAAATTTACGGATAAGATTCATTGTAATTCTCGACTTTTCTCTTAAATCTTTACATTTATAGCATTTGAGATGAAGTATTAGCAAAATTGAGCATTGAAATCAGGATCATTGATGCCAAATGGGATGTAAGTAATTGCACACTGCTCTGATATTTTTAGAACTAAAATGTTGTAACTGTCATTGAGACACCATACTGGCAATTAGCTGATTTAGCTCCTCCCAGTCTCTTATAATGCAAGTTATGTGTGATTTATATAATTTTTTTAGTTTTATTTGACACAATTAGGAAAAAGGCAAGCCAATTCTCATTAGTGAGTGGTTCGTTCTGCTTGACTTCTTGAAAGTACTGCAGTGTTTTCCTGTCAAATACCAATAACTATTTAGTTGCAAGAGATGTAAACTGCTATATGAGCTCCAGCAGTCAGTAATTAATTTAGTTCCAGGCTTGATGTACCTT